GATCATTTGGCCAGATCTAGAACAAAACAACTTTAAATGTGGTCAAATGATCTGCAAGTTTGACCAGAATTATGAACTATTCATCAGGTGATGCAGATCCGTTTTTCTTTCGAACCGATTTCCGATTGGTAATTCAAACCTGGATTATAAAGCTTGCCAGAATTATGAAAATTGCACTGCAGTGTCCCATCTCTAATTGAGATTCTTCTGTAAAAATTTAGTTGTAGCGGAAAAAATCTTAATCACACGCGTTTGCATTGTAATCGATAGCGTGTATCACAGAAGAAATTCGAAAATTCCAATGCACGTGTAACGCACCTGTGAAGTGCAAGATAAACAAAATTCAATAAATCAGTATTTAAGAGGGAAACTACGTGTTTAAAAGTTCTTGTTTTTTTTTGCACTTAATTTTTTATATCAACATGTCTGAAAAATATCCTGGTTATAAAGAACTTACATTATGTTTGAGACAAAACAAAAACAAATCTTTTTGGAGTTTTTTACTTCATTATCGAGACGTGATTATTGCAAGATGGCTCAAAAAAGAAATCACAGATAAATGAGCAGAATAATAAACCAAAATTCAAGTTTTATCCGTTACTTTCACTACATCTCGCAAACAGGACCTCAATAAGTCTTGGTGCAATCACTTTTTAGCAGAAGCAAAAGAGCTATCAAATTCAAATGACTTTGATAACTTGAGTAATAAGGTGTGTATTTTTTATTTTACAAAGTTAGGGCAATACCTAGTAGATTGCTGATCCGACTTAGGAGAATTACCTTGTACGACAACTTGGTAGCCACTCCAAGTCCTCTATTTGGGCGCCCTAATTTTTGTCGTCTACCGATTTTCTTCTTTTGGGCATACCCGTTTATCATCAGCTTTCTCTATACTATAAGGCTCGCCCTAAACCAATCCATTTGATTTTGACATGCCTTCACCACTAAATAAAAAATTACATTCTGTTAACATTGATAAATGCTTTTCTTATAATAGGTCAATTTGGAACAGCAACGTGTTAAAAATAAATTGGAGAATTATTGGAACGATATAATTAATAAATATAAAATAGTAAGTAAACCACTTACTTTGCATTTATATATCAACTTTATCATTGTTTATGATTATTCTTTTGAAATTAGAAACAAGAAATTGAGTTCCATAAATCGGAACTATCGCGCCTTCAACATTATATGAAATTAACAAAGAGTAAGAACGCCAGAACAATGGCTCGAAGATTTTCGAAGAGCCGCTACTGCTAACAAGTGGGATGCTGCTCGAAAATTAGAACTAACCCCTGTATACTTAAAAGGAATTGCATTAGATTGGTGGCTAAGTCTTAACCCTGCCCCAAATGCTGAGAATGGTGATAACAGTGATGTCAATAATGATAAAAATAATACCGATGAAATAACGATGATAATAATAATAGTAATAACAACGATGATAATAATAATAGTAATAGCAACGATGATAATAATAATCGTAATAACAGCGATAATAATAATAATTATGACGAGGATGATATCAACAATAACGACAATGACAATGATAACAATAATAAAAACAGCATTGCTGGCGGTTCTATGCGACGAAAAAAAAAGAAGACGGGTTAATTATCATAATGATAATAATGATAATAGTAGTAATAGTGATAATCATGACTATGACGGTAATATGGACAATGTCGGTGAAGATAACAATGTTTAATGAAGGAAAAGCCCTCGGAATCTAAAACCGGTTGTTTATACTATAGGATTTCGGCAAAAAAAAAAAACGACGTAGAAGTAAACCTGTAAGTATAAACTAAAGCATTATTAACAATAATAGTTATATTAATAAGTTTTATTTATTTATAGGCTTCATGACCACCATTATCATCACTACAATTACTTACTGCAAGTGTTATTACCACTAGTATTGTTAGGATTATTATTATTAACAATCGTTTTCTAGCTAGTTTTAAATCTCAGTTATTTATCTATAATAGTAACATTTGATCGTCGATAACATTATATATATGACAAATATTTTTAACGTAATTATGTGTTGTGTGTAAATATAGGGTTAGAGCTATAGTTGGTGGTAGAATTATTGAATTACAGTATTATGGCAGTTTACCAGATGATAGAATTAATTACGGCACAGTACCTGAATGCCATAAATATTATCTGCCGTAATGCTATATTGCCATAATGCCGTAATGCCATAGTATCGAAGTAATTCTTGAATTTATGCCAGGTTTGTGGCACAGCAAAAATTCTTTAATTACTACAGCTACAGCAACAAAATTGTCCCGGCAGAGCCTAGATTTTGATTGGCCAACGGGCGTGGATCTGCAAAATTTCAGCCCACATTACATAACTGTTTACTAATTTCTGGCCGGAATTAAATTTTTAGCTTTTTTATTCTCAAATAGAATTTTTCAAAGAAATAAACCCACAAAATGGTAAAATTAGCCAAGAAACAATTTTCATTTAATGAGCGGCTGTGGTTTCATTAGTAAAATTTTGAGTAATTCCGGCCAAATTTTTTTATCGTCGCTCTTAGCCCATAAATCGAGAATCTGCCGTGACAATTTTGTTGTGCTGTTTTCACCAGTTTCGCCAGTTTCGCCAGTTTCGCCATTTTGTCTTTTTGATTTTTTTTTTTTTTGGCGAACCTCTAGGTTCGCCTAACAGCTGTAATCACCATCCTCATCATCATCACAATCACCGCAAGTGTTATCATCACCATCATCACGCAAGCGTTATTATTACCACCATCACAAATATCATCACCTATTCGGAAAGGGAGTAAAAGAATCTGTTTAATGTGTCCTTTACATTGTCTAAGAAGAGAAAAGTTTAATAAACTTCTATATATTTCTGTTTGTATAACAAAATCATAGATTCGGGTTATCAATTACTACTTCATTAGTATCGGGATACTTTCAGAAATGTTAGAGAATTTACTGCTACAATTGAATATTATTTTCACTCGGATTTTTATTGCAAACATAACAGCCAATAAATTAACTTAAATACACTATGTAGAAAACTATGGGAATGGTGCCGCTGCCTGATTGTCAATATTGCGTCTTTAACACATTTCTAACTTTATTCGGAACAGTGTGAAGTGTATACAGCTGTTCAACCTATTTCATGGAACAGTGTGGGGTTTACGCAGCTGTTCATCCTATTTCATGAAACACTGCGGGCGTACACAGCTGTCCGCTCTGCTTCTTAGGACAGTATGCAGCATTCACAACTATCAACAAGAAAATGGTGTAGAGAGTATACAGCTATTCCTTGTGAATTCACAGCGTTGAATAGCATTGATATGGCGTAAGATTTCGTTCACCAATTATCCTAGTTTTTCTGGGGGTGGGGTGGGAGTAGGGATGCTAACAACTTGACTCGACCAACTTTGACTCGACTTGCATCGACTTTGACCTCTGAGTCGACTCAAGTCGACTCTTATCCACTCACATGAGTATATATTTTACATACTATATTATAACCTGAATTTAGTCAAAATGTAATCATAGTTTATTGTGGCAGCTGATGCTAAAATTTGAGTTTAAAATTTTAATCAATCAGCATTCAGCTGCTACATTGATCAACTGACTTGACAGTTAAAATAATTGTTGACTTAAAATATTAAGTCGTCGAGTTATTAGAACCTTCGATTGGCCAGAAATAGGAGTTTCGGGCAACTACGAAAAGCAGCGAAAGAAAAGCATAACTTCCTTTTAAAATTTTTAATGGCTTAATTATACTTATCATTTAACTCGCTAGATCAATGATCTCATCATCATACAATTTATTTAGACTTTTGCCTTTATGATTAGATCAACGATCATGAGGTCAAGTGATCCTCGCGATAATATCCTGTGCTTACGTCACAGTCGGGCATAGTACCTGATACTACTTGAAGGGAATACATTTCAAGGGATACTGTACTAAATGGCAATTATTTGATTGCCATTTTCTGTTACTATTTGCGGAAATTAATTACTAGGTACACAGTGTTCTTTACAGGGACACAGTCCAAGCGGTGTGTGATGATTACAGTAATTATCGTCTATAATGATAATTACAAAAAGATCTATTCACCTCAATTTGTATAAGATAATGAATCAGTCAGGGCAGCCCCATCAAAGTTCGGGTCACATCCGTAAGCCATTGCAGCATCTTTTCTAAAATCTATTGTAGATAACTAAATACTAGTCCTGCTAAAATAATAATATAATCATATCCCGAACTTCGGAGGGCTGCCCTGGCTGATCGTTTGTTGATCGGAGGCATGTATAATAAGATAACCCATCTTATTTATTGCGAGTGGTGAACTCTGGGAATTTTGCAGATTATTAAAACAAAGAATCCGACTAAAGTTTATAACGATAAGACTTGATAAAAATGTGTAACAACGTATTTGCTGGATGCTTCATACATAATTTCTGCAATCAGCATAAATTTTTATTCCCGGGAAAATAACTAATAAGAGAAAAAGAAATAAAGTATATGATAAGATTAACAATTTTGGTTAATAATACGTAAATTTCTTTTCATTTACGATTTATTGTCTGCATGAGGATGGGAACCATCGGTTGATATTTACTTTCTTTCCTAATTTAAAGAGTTATAATTTCTGAGGGAACCAACCAATCAAATTGCCAATTATTAGTCTTCTCTGTGATGAGTAAGTATTAATTTTATAGGTCTTATCCAGAATCATAAAGTAATGCATTTTTCTTTTTTTTTAAATTCCGAATAGTTGTTGAAGAGTTATAATTTTGGACATCTTTGGTGATTTGCACCATAACGATAAACATAATTAGCTGGATATTCATGCTGACTCATCTGGGGTAATTATTGCCCAAAATATTTAAAATAAGTAATTCACTTAATTTAACTTCTTTTTATCCAATCATGAACAAACTGAGATATGCCGTTTTAAATATAAAGTAGCACCTGACCAGAATTATATGCACGAAAATCCAATTTCAGGGGCTTAATTCTAGTCAGGTACTACTTTAAATATCAGATAAATTTCAACTTCAGATTGACATATATGTATCATGACAAGTTATTCATTTCTTATTTAATTTCTTTTTTTTTCTTATCACTCATCAGCCAACAGTATTTATGAATTTATTCATTCGCATTCATTTATAGATTAAGGTATTTAATTAATTATTATGCCTAGTAGTTATTTTTTTTATTTGACCTATGAGAATGATGATTATTTATAAATCAAGGTGTTTAAAAAAGATCAGTCGTTTCTCATTTAATCTTTTATTCGCGATCATATCATTTGAAGTATTTTAAGCCATTCACTCCTCATTCTTTTTTTATGCCGATTTGGTCTTTGAACATAATGATCATTTATCGATAGAACTATTTAAGGTAAGCTGTTTCCTTTTATTTAATTTCCAATTTTGGGTATAGCAACTTTTTTTTATAATGAGCTTCTTTTTCCTCCAATTTATCATAATTTCGGTACATTCTCCTGAACATTCTGGGTCTTTGCTTTGAAAATCACCTTCCGACATTTCCAATCGGGATAATTCCGACAAAAACAACCCCTAGTATCGGTCATATTGGCATGCAAATCATTTTTGCCTTTGTTGATCCAATAGGTTATTCAATGAACTATTAACTCAATAAAAGTAAAGATGATTTATACATAAACATGAACCGGTACTGGGGTTGTTTTTGTCCGAATTATCCCGAACGGAAATGTCATAAGGTGATTTTCAAGGCAAAGACACCAGTTATAAGAATCATTCGTTCGTTAGAGAGTTAACCGAATATGAATGATGCAAGGAGAAAACCGAACTTCGGCTTCCAAGTTTATTATTTACCGGATTCGGTCCTGACCGAAGAAATATGAACGTCACCAAGTTAACATGCAATTCTAAAATTAGATTATTATGAATCTACTTTTAGAATTGCATAATTTCACTTGGCGGTAGAGTTGAGATCTGTGAATATTCATGACTAAAATGAAGGTTCAATTAGTGGTAAATATTCTGTTACAAGAATTATATCAAGAATATCTGTATGAATATTCTCTGTAAATATTCATGTAAATATTTGTGTGAATGTGTAAATGTGTAAATGTGTGAATATTTTGTGCGAATATTTGACGAAGATGAGAAACGTAATCACATGAGATTCTCTGAATACCCGCATATCTGAATATCCGCGAATTCTTTGAGTATCTTTGAAAATTCCCCGAATATCCGCAAATTCTCTGAGTATTTTGAATTCTCTGAATATCCGCGAATTCTCTGAATATCTTCGAATTCTCTGAATATCCGCGAATTCTCTGAATATCTTCGAATTCTCTAAGTATCCGCGAATTCTGAGTATCTTCGAATTCTTTGAATATCCACGAATTCTCTGAGTATCTTCGAATTCTCTGAATATCCATAAATTCTCTATGAATAACCATGTAAACTCTGTATATTTATTCAGTATCATACGCGAATGACTAATATTCATTAAATAGCCATGATGGATATTCAAAGGATTCCAATTCTACTTGGTGGCAATCATATATTATCATTATGTAATTAAATTTACTTACGTATCATAATAACGATAAATAACTTGAAAGTCCGAAGTATGGTTTGCCTTTGTATCACTCATATGTACATAATTTTTTTTTTTATAAAATATATGTTGCAAGTGGGAATGTTATTTAAGAATTTTTTAGAATTTTAGGGTTAGGGTTTATATTTATACAAAATAAACTCCGCCCTAAAATTATAATTTTATGAATGAATTCTAAATCCGCTCCTACTTACAACATATACACAGTATATATATTGTAAGAGGAAAAGGAATTTATGTGGATTTGGAATTCCTAGTTAAATTAGGGTTAGGGCATGGGTAGGGTTGGCAATGGATAAGGTCCATTGAGAAAATTATCAATGGAGCGAATGGATAGTGTCCATTGGCTCCATTGGCTCTATTGACTCCATTGAATTAATAAAACATATTTATATGAGTGCTGCAAGGCGAAAACGTTTTTGTTGGTTCCACTTTTCAGAAACAGTGATCAGATTCCTGATGGATTATAATAAATTCTATAATAAATGTGACGGCTGATGCCGATTTTGGGGCCTATTTTCATACAAAATTTTATAATTTTTTGGGGTATATTTTTTTTAGCTTTTATTTAATAGTTGGACTAGAATTTAGGGTTAACATTGTTAATCAAAGAGTATATGTGGGTTTTAGTAGGTGTAATGGATCCAAATTGACTCCCAAAAATCAGCATCAGCACAATAAATACTATTTAATGAACCATGTGTCTGACTATAAAATTGATTTCGGAAAACAGGTTTTCCTTTTGCAACATTCATTAATGATTTTATAAATTAGAATATATAACATATATAATATACTGTGTATATATCATAATTTATAATTATTATGTTGGTCTCCATTGGCTCTATTGGCAAATTATTCTCAATGAAGCAATGGAGGTCTTCTCCATTGGGTCCAACGGATGAATGTGGAAGATCGAAGTACCCGTGATATCTTCGTGGTCATCACGTCACATGATTAAAACACTCGGCCTGTGATAGTAGTGTTCCGATCCATATGGTAAGGTTCTGAGGCACGGGCATTTATTCTGATTGGCCGGAAGTGTAGATAGTCAAGGTCATCGGGGACCTGATGCATTAGATCGTCCCAATGATAGTCGTCACATTGTCGTAACTTGCGGCTATATTGCTGTTACCTACTTACTATAGTTACAACAAGTTACGGCAATGTGACGACTATCATTCGGACGCATCATTAATCCAGAACATGGATCCACTCGGTTTTTAGGATTGTTAAAAATATCCGTCCGATCCGGTCTTTTCGGAACACTAATCCTGACCAACAATAATTTATTTCATACATTATCGTTATGTACGTACATACGTGGGATTCGATCAGGCTTAGCGTTAGTAATAAACAAAAAACGTGGCATTTCGATATATTTATATATGTTTATCGATTTTGTGGTTCGTCAATTTTGTTCATGTGTATGTGCATTAAACGTTTTAACATTTTAACGTCAACGTTGAAGGTTCATAGTGGCTTAACATTAATGCAGTTTCAGATTTCAGTCTAATTTAGTCCAGAGCTGACGCTACTACATAAATAATATAACACTTGGCCTCTTTTTAGTATATCCTGTTATAGACCGAATTAACAGAAACCAAATTTTATTTATCGAACGAACGTGGAGAAATTTATCAATTTGTTATAAAACATCAAGAATTTTAAAATTGAAAAGATCATATTAGATACGTGTTAATATTGCATCCAGCAACGTTAGACAGTAGTATGTTAAATATAATGAGAATATTCCGTCAAAAAAAACAATATAAACGTCCTTCAGGTGTTCGTAAACCCACAATTACATTCATATTCATATTCACATTGTAACATCAATAATAATAATTAACCATAACACATAAAGAAAATAATAAAATAATAAACCAATGAAAATTACCAATATATTCATATTAACAGTCATATTATTTATTGCAATTGTCTTTGCTGACGACGATGGTGACGATGACGACGATAAAGAAAGTGAGCATCGTACTTTATATCGAAAGAATGATATATCATTTAATAATATTATTATCACTAATTTTTCTATTGTCTAGTTTATTTTCTTTTCCTGGACAAACGTTCATCGCTTCTAAACGAACACAAACGAAACAACGAAAGTTGTCCGTATCAAGAAGAACGTTTCCCGAACAAACGTGTTATCAATAAACGTGAAGCTTTTCAACACCATCTCGACTACAAACGTGACTTAGAAACTTATTCGAGAGCTTACCATTACGAGCGTGATCCAGATGCAAATCAAAATAAACAAAAACGTGACTCTAGGATTGATCCAAATTACTCCTACAAACGTGAAACGACACCACGTAATTATTGCAGACGAGATTAGGGATGGTAAAGTCAGTTTAGATCTGATTTAGTTTCTAAAACCTTTGGGTTCTAAAACCTTTAGGTTCCAATTTAAAACCCTGGTTCTCAATATTTTGTAATATATAAAAAACAAAAATATATTAATAAATAATTAATTCATATCAAACGTGTATAATATTGTTTTTTTTTCGGATATTCTGAATAATTTAATATACTAATATTGATTTATTTAATGCAATCTTTTTGTAAAGTGGATGATCACATAATAACAAAGTTAACAAGATGAATCGATTTTTTTCATTTTCCAATCATATACAATACATATCATGTGTGTGCACTCTACTTGATTTATTTGAGATAGTTCAGAATAAAGAATTACTTTATTTACAAAAGTTACTCATTTCTTTCAGACGAATTTCAAAAATTAAATTATCTATTTTTTGTGAATTAAAAACATATTAAATAAAATTTAATGATAACTAAATAATCTATAAAAAATTGGCTTTTTTTTCTACAGTGATAGTTTGAATGTTTATCATAAAATATTATCATGTCCTGCTATAAACAAACACCACCTTCCTAACCTTAATGTTTATTCACTAAAAGTTTTGGTAATGGTTAAAGTTACTTCACTTGTTTTGACTATTTCTCAAATTATAAGGAATTGTATGCCATCGAACAAATTCCAAGTTTGGACAAATTTCAAGTAATTGCTCTTTTTCATCGTCTAGCAGATAGTCAACATGAACTCTTGAGAATCTTATTGTAAATATTTTTAGATTTTTTAATTCCGAAATTGCCGCTATTATATCCTGTCAAAGACCAAATAAAATGAAAGGTTTGCTAAAAAATAAAATAAAAATTTAATGATATAAAAAAAGACATACCGCTTTTGCTAACTCCTCGACACCAGACAACATTAATGTATATAAATCCAAATTTTTGCAAATGATTTCCAAGGTCAACTTACTCAATTCGATACCAGATAAAATTAGTTCTCTCAATTTTTCCTTTCTATTAGTAAAATAATCAATAATCATGCCTAAATCAATTTCATATAAAGAAATATTCAATTTATTTTCAGATGCCTCTATGCAGCTGTCTAGTGGCCTATCCACTTTATTAATTGTAAGTCTAAAACATTTTTTAAAATGTTTTGCAGTCGCAAGTGCAAACTCTGTTGTTATTTCATGCATATTAGTAACATTAAGTTTTGTTAGTTTCGGACAAAATTTGAAAATTTTTAAGAGCACTTCTTCACTAATACCAATACATTGATGAATCTTCAATTGAGTTATTTCAGGAATGTTTTCAAGAATAGGTATCATTATTTGATCTTCGTAGTTTTTTTCTTCGATATCCAATCTTTGAATCTTTTTACATTGTTCAACTATTCGAAATAAAACTTCTCCGAAACAGGAAATATCTTTTTTTAATTCTAACTCTTCCAATCGAGGACAATAATCTGCTATTACACTCATTGCTTCTCCGTCGTTAATCTCTACCGAATCAGAAAACTTGAAAAATTTGAGATTAGGTAATCTAGATACCATTTTATCCATTTGGTTTTTATTCAACACCTTAGTTCCAATGATAAATGTTTCAATTCGTTGACAACATTCCAATGTCATCAATAGTCTTTCTTGATCTAATTCTAACCTTTCTAAATCCAAAATTTTAACATATCTGCCGTATTGATGAAGACATTTCCCATCTCGAGCTGAAACCAAAACTTGATAAAATTTTTCAAATGATTTAGTTTTTGAATTATTTTTTAGTCCACGGAATCTATGCCATAGTCGTTCTGTAGCTAATTGATTCCACCACCTATTCACTAAAGTACATGTAAATATTTCACGTTCCAAAAGTATGTGGGCTAATATATTGATTAATATTAATGACACCGAGAATGCTCTCTGTGATATTAATTTATTGTTATCATTGTTGGGTGGGTTCATTTTTTTTTTTGGTTGTTAGTTAATGAAAAAAACAATCTTCAAGATGATGTTTAAATATTTAGAGAACGGAGTTTTCGAGAATCTACAAAATTCTTAATACTGACATTGTTACACATACCCGGTTGTACGATGTACTATGTTAATGTACTACGTATCCTAATGCCTTTGTTTTTTAATTAATATGTATGCAGAAATTTCGGAATCCGATTGGACTTTGAAACCGAAATCTATTGTTCCTCTTTAAAGAAAAAACCGCCATTTCGAACATGTGATTACCGGAATGTTCCTTTTAATGAAAACGATTGTGGCATTATTTTTTTTTAAAAAAAAATACAATGTCGGTAAACTTTGTAGACATTACAGCCCTTTTGAGTCATTTGATATATTTTCTGTTGTTCATCAAATTTTAGTTGTTATAACTATCGAAATTATTGTAATATTAATATAAGTATCGGCACTATACATCTTATTTTTTAATCTAGAAAATGTAGAGAGGCTTTTCCCACTTGAAAAAAAACAAAAGGTCAGGGTAGCGGTTGTCTTCGATAACAAAAAAATGCATAAATATGATTTTCGGCCAGTACATTATCGAATATGTTTTATCATTACAGCTGTTTTCATAAATTCATCGACTGAATATTTGCAGGTTTTGATTCGGCAAATATTCGGCTATAATTGTACCGACCGAAAATCATATTATCAAAGACTACGTTTTTATTACTGAAAAATACCAATAATTTCGAATTGGGTAGAATTTTTAGTAATTAGTTGAAGTAAATGAATGCTTAAATCTATGAATTTTCCAGTTGACCGGTTTCCAGAACAGACGCAGGCATATAACATCACTTAGTATTAGTGTCCAGAAATCTGCGGTGGCAGAATCTGCGCAGAATTCTGCTCTTGGCCTGCTCGCCGAATAATAGCCTATTGGTTGATACTAGAGATTGTATCCGTATAAGTGCAACCTAGGTGACCCGTGTAAGATGTGTTAACCGGTTCATAGATATTGCTACCCGAGTGACCCAGATTAGCTATTCATAAATATGTAAAAATGTACATTCGTCTAATTAGTTGCCAAACCCAATCAACTAAAAGTAATAAGACCTTTGATATAGGTTCGATCTTAAAACTTTATACCCAACAATTTTATGTATATATTAATAATTAGTTTATATATTATAGAAGTAAGTGACTAGATTAGATGAAAAAGAACAGTAGTTTAAATATATATCAACAAATTAGAACATGACGGTCTTATAAACTATGCTGGAAAATGTATAGTATCAGTAGTTGTAAATACATATTTTTCATATGTGATCAACCAGGTCAACTGGATTATCCAGGTTATCTAGTTTGTAACTCGGTTAAAATTTTTTTTTGATTTAAGCAGATAAGTAACCCAGAGTTAAAATTTTGGTTGAACTATAGTATAGGTGTGCAACAAAAATAGGTTAGTAGGTTAAGTTTTTTATATGTAACAAGAGGCATAATATAAAAATATAAAATTTTAACTATATAATCTTATTTTTTTTCAGTTTAAAGTGGCAATCTTGTCTATATGTCTTTATTTAGTAACATATAAGTATATTATTATATACAAAGTCTATTAACAAAAGTACAACTAGTCATATATATAACTTTAATCATTATCTAATTAAGGGTTTCACTCATAGGTTACTCATTAGATGTTATACCTAAGACCCACCTCTGGATCTCTTATTTAAACCTTTTGATTTTTAACACTATTTGTATATATATGCAATATTTATATTACCATTATGTAACATATTAAGTTAAGGTTATCTAATTCTATTTATATCAAAGTATTACCTTATTGGATGTTACTAAGTATCTATAGTTTTCAAATTTATTCTCAATACAAACTTATTAAGTATAATATCAAAATTACTTTTTAAATTTTATTTAATTTAATGTATTTCATATTCACTAAACTGATATTAGTATCAGAGATGTTTAAATTTTAGTAAGTCTATTTCTTTTTTATAGTTTCCTTTTATGTTTACTATATCATTTGCTAATACAATTTCTCTTCATTCCTGTTATATTTAGTACTTTTCTTGTATTGAGCATCATCTCTTTATATTAAAAAACTTCTTTCTAGTGTAATATTATAGATATTTTTAAACATTATTTTATATTATTTTATTGATATTATATTAGTTTTATATTATATTT